ATTTTCCCAAGCCCTTCCTTCTGCATGTATTTGGCATAATCTTGCCATAATACAGACAGTCCCAAGCAGAGGCGGCCCTGGGTAATTTTCAACGGTAAGCAAACAGTATTTTGGTGCCCCCCAACCAATCACTGATATATATTTTCTGTTCATCGTGGGAGTTCTGTGTGCCATATTTGGTTCAATTCCATCATTGGTGGAGTTCAGAATGCTCTTTGATTGTAGGTGAACTATACATCCCAGTAACTACAATTCGCATATGTCAAGGTCTATTTTCCCCCAAGAGCGCCTCAAGAGCGCCCCTGGGCAAAATCAACTATACTGCAAATGCTTACTTTGCGTAATCGGTTGAGACGCCCCTGTCCCCAAGTTACGAATAGGATACCTTCTTCTGTAGTTTTCTCCTAAAGTTGAATTTGTAAGGAAGTCATAACAGGTACATTTTAAGTGAAACTCCAGCCAGTACTGTTTCATTGTCTGTGTGGAGGTTACCAGGGGATGCTGGAAAGAGAAGGATAGTCCATTTTGTGGGGGGTAGAGGGTGGGTTGAAGGTGTTAAACCAGGCCCGGGGACCAGCTATGGCCCTCTGAGGTCATTTACCCATCCCTCACTCAGGGTCGGCCTAAGTCTGAAACAACTTAAAAACACACAACAATCCTATCTCATCAGCAAGCCTTCACTTCCCATTGAAATATAAATTTGTATTTGTTAAAAATGTTCTTCATTTTAATTATTGTATCTGGCCAAGGTGGTCCACACCTTAATCACCTCTAGACTGGATTACTGCAATGCACTTTACGTGGGGCTGCACTTGAAAACGGCCCGGAAATTTCAGATGATCCAACGGGCGGCAGCCAGGTTGTTAACTGGGGCTCCTTACAGGGAGTGGTCATCCCTCCTGTTCAAGGAGCTCCACTGGCTGCCATTCATCTACCGGACCCAATTCAAGGTGCAGGTTCTTACCTACAAAGCCCTGAACGGTTTGGGACCCGCCTACCTGCGTGACCGCATCCTCACGATCCCTTCGATCATCCGGAGAGGCCCTGCTCTCGATCCCACCAGGATTGCAGGCGCGATTGGTGGGGACAAGAGAGAGGGCCTTTTCAGTGGTGGCCCCTCAACTCTGGAACTCACTCCCTAAAGACATCAGGCAGGCCCCAACTCTGGCAGTCTTTAGGAGGAGCTTGAAGACGTGGCTGTTCAAGTGTGCCTTCCCAGAATAATGATCCCATAGCTCTTTGTCCTCCAAAGCACTTTACATTTCTTTAGGTCTGCTCGTATGCCCTTACACAAACACCATTATCACCTTTTTGTCCATGTCCCAGCATTACTTCCAATTTTAACCTTATATTTGGCCTTCCCACTGTTTTTAACCGTGTGTTGTCTTATTGATAATGTGGTATATTTTATTGTCTGTTTTCTTATTGCTTGTATTGTTGTTTTATTGCTTGTATTGTTGTATTTGGGCTCAGCCTCATGTAAGCCACACCGAGTCCCTTGGGGAGATGGTAGCGGGGTACAAATAAAGTGTTATTATTATTATTATTATTATTATTATTATTATTATTATTATTATTATGACAAGCTATGAAGTTTCAGAAGTAGATGAGTTGGATTGTTGTAGGTTTTTGTTGCTTCTGGCATTTTCCAAGCCCTTCATTCTGCATGTATTTGGCATAATCTTGCTATATACAGTCAGTCCCCAAGTTACGAATAGGATACCTTCTTCTGTAGTTTTTGCCTAAAGTTGAATTTGTAAGAAAGTCGTAACAGGCACATTTTAAGTGAAACTCCAGCCAGTACCACTTCATTATCTGTGTGGAGGTCACCAGGGGATGCTGGAGAGAGAAGGATAGTCCATTTTGTGGGGGGTAGAGGATGGGTTGAACGTGTTAAACCAGGCCCGGGGGGCAGATATGGCCCTCCAAGGTCATTTGAGAGGGCAGCAGCGGAGCAGTTGCAGCAATTCTTAGACGACACAGCCGGACTAGATCCCTTCCAGTCCGGCTTCCGTGCGGGGCATGGGACAGAGACTGTGCTGGTCTCCATCACGGATCACTGTGCTGGTCTCCATCACGGAGCTTCATACAGGGAGCATACCACCCCCCTGCTGTGCCAGCTCCACTGGCTGCCGATTCAGTTCCGAGCACAATTCAAGGTGCTGGTTTTGACCAACAAAACCCTATACAGTTCCGGTCCAGTGTATCTGTCCGAACGTATCTCCCTCTACGTCCCACCCCGGAGTCTGAGATCGTCTGGGGAGGCCCTGCTCTCGACCCCACCACTGTCACAAGTGAGGCTGGTGGGGACGAGGAGCAGGGCTTTCTCAGTGGTGGCCCCCCACTGTGGAACTCACTCCCGGGGGAAATCAGGGCATCATCATCCCTCCTTGCCTTCAGGAGGAGGGTGAAGACTTGGTTATGGGACCAGGCCTTTGGGCACTCTGGCAATTAAATCAGACAATCAGGCGAGTAAGACCAGCAGGATTGATGAAGTGGAACGTAAAACTAGATCTATGAGTTAACGAACGCTGACCATGTAAGAGGAGAAATTGGGTTTGCATTTGGTTTTTATTGATTTTATTGATTTTATGGTTATAATGTATGAATTGTTGTCAACTGTGAATTGATGTAATTTTGTGTATGATTGTTTTATGATGCAGGCATCAAATTGTGCCTTTGCTTTATAAGCCGTCCTGAGTCCCCTTCGGGGTGAGAAGGGCGGGGTAAAAGAACCCCAAATAAATAAATAAATAATAAAATCACCTTCGATGCCAGCTTGACCAGGGCGGGTCGGCGCTGCTTTGTTATTGGATCTCACTACAGCATTTGACACAGTCGACCACAATCTTTTGACCCACCGCCTTGCTGCTGTTGGAGTCAGGGGGACAGCTTTAAATTGTCTCTGAGAGGTCCCCTCTATCTTGTGGGGTCCTATAAGATCAGAAAAGGCAGCAAATGATATTAAGAAGGTCATGAATTAAGAAGATTTTTTTTATAAAAAGGTTTGCCATGCAGTTCGTGCTTGAAAGAGATTTTCCCAAGAGCAGTGGTGATTAATTGAGCCAGTTGCTCTAAAACCAAATACATTGCTGTAGGGACATGTGGGATGCTCATGGTTAAAGGGCTTCCAAAATGTTCAAAATGGGTCACTATCAGGGCATGGCAAGAAACTGAGATGGAGACAGGCTGTTCTTAAGCATACAAATAAAGCCACTTCTGTTCTGAAGTCAAAAACTGAAGATTGCTTTGTAAACTGTTCTGAAGGAAGGCTGCCTCAGGCATTCTGCACCAAGTAGAACAGTTATTGATGTGCCCCTTTTATTGGGTGAATGGCAGGGTGTACTTGTTGGATTCCAGAGCGAAAGGGGAGCGAGAGGTCAGTTCAGATTGGCTCAGACATAATTCTACATTTTCTTACACATAGCCCAGAACTTCCAATTATACATGTCTAAGGTTTAGCCAGTTATTTTTCCCTGAAAATGTGAACTGTGCCACCTGCATCCTCTTAGATCGGGGATCCCCAAATTTTTAAGCCGAGTGCTGGTTCATGGTCCCTCAGACTGATGGGAGGCTGAACTATAGTTTGAAAAAAACATGAACAGATTCCTATGCACACTGCACAGATTTGATTTGCAGTGCCAAAAGAACATTCACACCTAGCTGCAGCAGACAAGAGTTCTTTGTCCCACCCTGGTCATCCCACAGATATATAAACCCTTTTTCCTACTTCCAACAGACCTCACTACCTCTGAGGATGCTTGCCATAGATGCAGGTGAAATGTCAGGAGACAATGCCTCTAGAACATGGCCATATAGCCCAGAAAAACCTACAACAACCCCATTATTATTATTATTATTATTATTATTATTATTATTATTATTATTATTTATAGTAGGGTAGGTGGGCATCGTGTGGCTCTTTAAATGTTGCTGGAGTGAGCAATACAATATTTAGAATGAGGAACAATTTTTTTACTAACATAAACTTACCATATTTCAGTGGGAAGTGTGGGCCTGCTTTTGGCTGAAAATAATAATAATAATAATAATAATAATAATAATAATAATAATAATAATAATAATACTTTATTTATACCCCGCTACCATCTCCCCAAGGGACTCGGTGCGGCTTACATGAGGCCGAGCCCAAATACAACAATACAGCAATAATAACAACAATGCAAGCAATTAAAATAAAACATGGACAATACAATAATGCAACATTAACAATAAGACCACACGATTAAAAACGATGGGAAGGCCAAATGTAAAATTGAAATTGAAAATAATGCTGGAACATGGGCGAAAACATACAAGCAGACCTAAAAAATGTAAAGTGCTTTGGAGGACAAAGTGCTATGGGATCATTATTCTGGGAAGGCACACTGGAACAGCCACGTCTTCAAGCTCCTCCTAAAGACTTCCAGGGTTGGGGCCTGCCTGATGTCCTTAGGGAGTGAGTTCCAGAGTCGAGGGGCCACCACCGAAAAGGCCCTGTCTCTCGTCCCCACCAATCGTGCCTGCGATATAGGTGAGATCGCGAGCAGGGCCTCTCCAGATGAACGGAGATAAGATAAGATAAGATAAGATAAGATAAGATAAGATAAGATAAGATAGTCAAGTTGTTTAGATTGTTGTTGTCATGTGTCTTCAAATCGTTTCAGACTTAGGGTAACCCTGATTCTGAGGTTTAAAGGGGGGAGGCAGGTAAATAACCTTAAAGGGCCGCATCTGGCCAATGAGCCTTAGTTTGGGGACCCCATTGTTTGTCCAGATTCCAAATTCTACTCTTATTTTAAGAAAGTCCTAAGTCTGTAGACATGGGGCAAATCTGGAGGCCCTCTGCAGTCAAATGGTTCTTGTTTAGGTTGCTCGAAGTCCACCTGCAAATTGTAGGGATGAAGAAAGAGAGAGTGATTGATGCAATTGGCAGGCAAGAATATAGGAATGACTGGATGGTATGGATACGAAGGAGATGAGGCAAGGAGAGTGAAAGGTATGTGGAGCAGAGGGCAAGAAACAAGGGAGAGGCACCCAGCAAGGTTGTGAGAGAGTAGCAGAGATAGCAGTGAGAGTGGCAGAGCATAAAAAGCAAAGGAGTGGCACAACAGCGGAATTGAAGACACAAGAGTGGAGCACATGGAGAGCACCAGGTGAACCTGGCGGGAGTAGCAGGGAAAGGAGAGGTAGAACATGAGTATTCAAAAAAGAAGGGAGTATGGTGTGCGATGAGGGGAGGGGAGATACTAAGTAGAAGGAAAGGGGAAGGAGGGTGAGGGAGTAGTGGCAGAGTCTGAAGAACAAGAGAGGTAAGCATCAGACAGTGGTCACCTTCAAGGGCATTTTGTGCAAATTCCATGGATCTATTGTCGAAGGCTTTCATGGCCAGAATCACTGTGTTGTTGTATATGTATATGGCCATGTTCTAGAGGCATTTCTCCTGACGTTTCGCCTGCATCTATGGCAAGCATCCTCAGAAGTAGTGAGGTCTGTTGGAACTAGGAAAAAGGGTTTATATATCTGTGGAATGACCAGGGTAGGACAAAGGACTCTTGTCTGCTGGAGCTAGGTGTGAATATTTCAACTGACCACCTTGATTAGCATTTGATTGCCTGGCAGTGCCTGGAGCAATCTTTTGTTGAGAGGTGATTAGATGTCCTTGTTTGTTTCCTTTCTGTTGTTGGGCTGTTCCATGGATCTATATTTTTGCCATTAATGAAAAAGTGATGGCAAAAAAACAGTGATCAGACAGTAATACCAGTGTCATTTTTGAGCATGACAATATGTTTTGATTGATATTTTTGTATGAAAGTATATGCCTACTTTGTGCATTCTTCCTCTCTCTTTTGATCTTCAACCTTGTAAGGTAGGTTTACTGGGAGATAGTCATACTCACATAGTAAATTCTATGATCAAGAAGATATTTGAACTTGGGTCTTCCTCTTCCACAGTCAGCATTTGAAACTTCATACTGATTCTCTTTGATGAATTGTGGTGGAGGCTCCTTCTTTGGAAGCTTTTAAACAGGGCATTGATCTTGAGTTTTGGAGTTGTAGTTTACCTACATCCAGAGAGCACTCTGGACTCAAGCAATGATGGATCTGGACCAAACTTGGCACGAATACTCAGTATGCCCAAATGTGAAAACTGGTGGAGTTTGGGGGAAACAGACCTTGATATTTGGGAGTTGTAGTTGCTGGGATGTATAGGTCACCTACAGTCAAAGAGCATTCTGAACTCCAATCTTAGCACACAGAACTCCCATGACCAACAGAAAATCCTGGAAGTGTTTGGTGGGCATTGATCTTGAGTTTTGGAGTTGTAGTTTACCTACATCCAGAGTGGACTCAAACAATGATGGATCTGAACTAAACTTGGCATGAATACTCATATGTGAACAGTGGTGTAGGGGGAAATAGACCTTGTCAAACTACAAGAAAGGAGATTCCATCTGAACATTAGGAAGAACTTCCTGACTGTTAGAGACATTCAGCAGTGGAGCTCTCTGCCCCAGAGTGTGGTGGAGGCGTTTTCTTTGGAAGCTTTTAAACAGAGGCTGGATGGCCATCTGTCAGGAGTGATTTGAATGCAATATTCCTGCATCTTGGCAGGGGGTTGGACTGGATGGCCCATGAGGTCTCTTCCAACTCTTTGATTCTATGATTCTATAACAGCAAAAAAATGCTTATGAAGGGTAAAAGAAAGCAGAGGAAAAGGCAATAATTAAATTATCTAATTTGTATAATTGGAATAAATTTGCACATTTGATGTTTAAGTAACATTTGAGGTTTAAGTAACTGGAATATAGCAACCCCATATAAGGCCCCTTCTGAAGCTCTTTGTTTATGCTACAGAATAGAGTAGAAATCTGGAAGAACTTTAAAACAATATTTGCTTTCCAATTTTTGTTTACAAAAAGTCTATTTTGTAATTGCAGCTTGTACTTAGAATATTCCTTATGGCTTTCTCTCTTCTCTGGAAGTGAAGAGAGGACACTCGACAACTTCGTCCCTCCTGGCTATATTCTGCAGAAGTTAATTCCCCAGCTGTCTTGGCAAGTTGTCAAGCTGCCTGAAGAATTCTTGAAGTTGTCATCCAAAACAGTACTTTCTACAAGCTTTAGGGCTAACATTATAGTCTTTCTGACAGATTAATTTCCAGTATAGTACATTATCAGTTTCAGTATTGTACATTATCATTATAGTACATTATCAGTTTCAGTATAGTACAGTTTCAGAAAAACATCTATTTCTGTTATATTTACTATTCTAAAGCCTTTGACTGTGTGAATCATAATAAATTGTGGCAAGTTCTTGGTGGTCTGGGCATACCAAATCACCTTGTCTCTCTCCTGAGGAATCTGTATAAGGGCCAAGTAGCAACAGTCAGAACTGACCATGGAACAGCAGACTGGTTCAAGGTTGGGAAAGGCGTACGGCAGGGTTGTATACTCTCACCCAACCAGCAGAAGACTGGAAATTAGTTTGAAGTTGACACAGTTCTGTTGTCAGCAGCAGGAGGATGGTTTCTAGCAGTGTAATGGAATAAACATGGAGCCTCCAGTGGCGCAGTGGGTTAAAGTGCTGAGCTGCTGAGCTTGTTGACTGAAAGGTGTTCATTCGTTCAGTCGTCTCCGACTCTTCGTGACCTCATGGACCAGCCCACGCCAGAGCTCCTGTCAGCCGTCACCACCCCCAGCTCCTTCAAGGTCAGTCCAGTCACTTCAAGGATGCCATCCATCCATCTTGCCCTTGGTCGGCCCCTCTTCCTTTTGCCTTCCACTTTCCCCAGCATAATTGTCTTCTCTAGGCTTTGCTGTCTCCTCATGATGTGGCCAAAGTACTTCAAGACTGAAAGGTAGCAGGTTCGAATCCAGGGAGTGGCATGAGCTTCCACTGTTTGGCCCAGCTTCTGCCAACCTAGCAGTTCGAAAACATGCAAATGTGAGTAGATGAATAGGTACTGCTCCGGTGGGAAGGTAACAGCGCTCCATGCAGTCACATAACCTTGTAGGTGTCTATGGACAACACTGGCTTTTTGGCTTAGAAATGGAGATGAGCACCACACCCCAGAGTCGGACACGACTGGACTTAATGTCAGGGGAAAACCTTATTATTATTATTATTATTATTAACTTTATTTGTACCCCGCTAGCATCTCCCGAAGGACTCGATGCGGCTTACACAGGCCGAAGCCTCAAAACACAATACAATAGAAAACAAAACCTTTACCTTTACTTAACGGAATAAACTAGAAATTGAGCTGCAGAAGGTGGAACTTTGCTTCCCCAGCTGCCTTTTCAGTCTACATTGGTTGCTACTCTTAAGCAATGTCTGTCCCATGCTCACAGTGCAACAAATGATGTCTCAGAAAGGGAAATTAATAACTGTGAAATTTGAGCTTTCAACTCAATGAGTGGGTGATTTCTTTAGTTCCTGCCCCCAGGTTCCTCTTTTCTCTGTCAGTCTCTCTTCACAGATTCTGTTTCCTTTTCTTTCCCCAGAATGTTGCCCCTCATGGACTGGATACTGGAAGACCTGGCCCTGGGGAAGGTTTCCTTCCGTATAGTGGCTGTCTCTGGCCTGTTGCTTTTTCTGCTGGCTGCCCTCCTCCATCTGCTTTTGAAGGGCTTTATCTTCTGCTACCACTATTACGTCACCTGCCAGAAACTGCGCTGCTTCCCAGAGCCCCCACGCATCAACTGGTTCTTGGGGCACCTGGGTTTGGTAAGTATGGCTACTGGGAACAACTTAGATGATGATGATGATGATGATTATTATTATTATTAATTATTTTGGTTGCTTCTACCCCGCCCTTCTCACCCCAGGGGGGACTCAGGGCGGCTTACAAAAGCGAGGCATCACATAACAGCAAAGGACAAAAACATCAATTAACAAGACAGCAATTCTAGCAATAACAACAATTAACAGACGACAATAATTATTATAGGCAAAAACAACCATAAAACCAATAAAAGCAATAAAACCAATACAAACCTCATTGACGGTCAGCGTTTCACAATCTCATAGTTAAATTCCAATTCCACAATTGTCAGTCCTTTCAGTCCTATCCATCTGGTTTCCATATCTAATTGTCAGATTGCCCAAAGGCCTGGTCCCACAACCACGTCTTTACCTTTCTCCTGAAGGCGAGGAGGGATGTTGATGCCCTGATTTCCCCCGGGAGTGAGTTCCACAGGTGAGGGGCCACCACTGAGAAGGCCCTGCTCCTCGTCCCCACCAGCCTCACTTGTGATAGCGGTGGGGTCGAGAGCAGGGCCTCCCCAGATGATCTCAAATTCCAGGGTGGGACGTAGAGGGAGATACGTTCGGACAGATTTGGACCATGCCACAAGCAGCTGGCTGCAGGGCCATGATCATGGGAAGAGATTGCTTTCAATCAGGATTTGCACTACCCCATGGTCTGCAGTCACAGCTATGAAACAGAAAACAGCAACTGGAGATATCCATGTCAGTCTGGGTTTAATGGTGCATCCATACTGTAGATATAATACAATGTGATGCCACTTCAGCTGCCATGCTCAATGCCATGAGATCATTTGTACTTTTACAAAGTGCTTAGCCTTCTTTGACAAATGGTGCCCGTGCCTCACTAAACTACAACATCCATGATTCCATAGCATTGGACCATAGCAGTTGAAGCAATGTCAAACTGAATTAATGTAGATGCACCCTGAGTCCGTACTAGGTTCAACACCTTGGATAACTCTTTTAGTGTTTAGTCCTAAACCTGGAGCAGGCTCATTGCTCCACTGGCATGCCATATTCTGCCAATTCCTGTTTCAATCCAAAGATGCAAGCTTGGCAAGTTCTAACTTTTAGACTGTTTGCACACAAAATATTAAGAGCATCTTATCCATTTGGGACATATCATATATATACTGCCCGTGATAACACAACCACCATAGATATAGATATATAGATATAGATATATGGAGTTAGGTTGTGGAGTATAACTAATTCCCAAAGAGCTCTGCTTTAAAACCTTACATACAATCAGATGAAAAGCCTCCTTTGGATAGAAAACTAACTTGAACATCATTTTGAGGAAATTGGTATTATGAAGATTTTGGAGTTAGTCTTCCACAAAGAGACACACAAAATGTTATGGGGTTTGAATAGAGCCTAACAGATTTTATTGGCAAAACTTCAGTCCCCTGCTTACCCCAAATATTGTCTGACCCTTCCCCTACCTGCAACAGTAATGTGTTATTATCTTAAGGTGTTTTTTGTTTTGTTTTTACCTTCCATGAGAAGTCGGAAGTGAAAGAGAAAAGCATGCTTTTCTGAATGCAGCCACATAATAATTTAGTCTTGTTTGTTGATCTGTGAGACTGGATCTGCTTCATTGTGGCTTCCGTCAGCTGTATTCTTTCAGGCACAGAAAATGGGAGAGGCAAGTGACCTAGTTTGGACTTAAAGTCTGTCAAGAGCAAAATGCTGGTCGTGTCTAACCACCTTCATTTTGGGAACCAGGCTCCGAAAATGCTCACACCAACTCTTTTCAGAACAGGCACCCTGCCATTCCTGTTTGGTTTGGAGAGGGAGAATTATGCAACACACCACATCTTCCCTTCACCAATTCCTGCTCCACTGTGTCTTGGTCCAAGATTCATGGTGTTGGGGATGTCTAATGATGGGGTCTTGTACAGGCTGGTTTCTTGGCAGAAATCTCTGAGGAGATTCCCTGGGATATAGCTGCCAAGATGGAAGTGGGCATTAATTCACTTCACTTCACTTCACTTCACTTCACTTCACTTTATTTCTTAATTAGTCGCTCTCCACAAAGGTGCTCCGAGCAACTTACAATCTAAAATAGCATTTACACAATATAAAAACATTCAACATAAAAACATTCAACAGTGACTATTTGGCAAATTAGATCTGATTACTTAAATGCACAACCAAACAGCCAAGTCTTGAGTGCCTTTACAAAAGGTCGCAACTCCGACATTGCTCTAATGCAGTGGTTCTCAACCTGGGGTCCCCAGATGTTTTTGGCCTACAACTCCCAGAAATCCCAGCCAGTTTACCAGCTGTTAGGATTTCTGGGAGTTGAAGGCCAAAAACATCTGGGGACCCCAGGTTGAGAACAACTGCTCTAATGTATGGAGGCAATGAGTTCCACAGAATTGGAGCATAAGTCAAAAAAGCTCTACGCCTTGTAGCTTACAGGTGTACCTCCCTAGGGCCCAGTATGTATAGGAGATTTTCCTGGGTGGATCGAGGTGACCACTGATGGAGAAAAGGAATGAGGTGGTCCCAAAGATATAAAGATACTTGGCCATTTTGAGCTCTAAATGTCAGGATCAGTATCTTGTAAGAGATCCAATGTTCTATTGGTAGCCAATGCAGTTGTTGCAGAATCGGTGTAATATGGGATCTTATAGATGATCCCGCTAGCAGCCTGGCCGCTGCATTTTGGACCATCCGAATCTTCTGGGTTGTTGACTTCGGAAGGCCGGCATATAAGGCGTTGCAATAGTCCAGCCTCGTGGTGATTGTTGCGTGGATTACTGTTGCCAATGCTTCTACCAAAAGGTAGGATACCAATTTCTTTGCCTGGCGAAGATGGAAAAAGGCCTGCTTACTTATGGCAGTGATCTGGGCCTCCATCGTCAGCAATGAGTCCAACACAACCCCAAGGCTTTTAACAGTGGAAGACAGAACCAGAACTTCCCCATCGAAATCAGGCAGAGACTGGATTAATTCTGGCGGCTGGTCAGGCCAGAGTATCTCAGTTTTAGCAGGATTTACTTTTAATCTGCTCGCTCACAGCCAACTCATCACTGCTTCCAAACACAGCCTAAGGTGGCAAAGTGGAGTACTGCCAGTAGCGAACAAGCACTGAAGAAAGTTGGCATATAACCAGATGAACTGTGATGTTTATCACGTATTTTTTAAACTAAATTGTGGACTGGGATTAGTAAATGTGTTCAAGACTTCAGAGTTAAGTTTGTCCTTTGTCCAGCCAGAGTCTTTAATCGCAATCCCTTCTCCCCAGTGTCATACAAGCCATGAATTCCTCTGCTTGGAAATGATCAGGACAGAGATTCTACTTGGCACCTTATGATGGAGACACAGAGCTAAAACCTGTGTGCATCTGTACTACAGAACTTTTGCAGCTTGACTGCCACGATTCAATGCTATGTATGTGATCCTGGGAGTTGTGATGTTATAAACTTTTAGCCTTCTCTGCTACAGAGTGCTGGTGCCTCACCAAATCACAACTTTCAGGATTCCATTGAGCCATTGCAGTTAAAATGGTGCCAAACTGCATTCATTTCACAGTGTAGATGTAGCCATGGGTCCCTGTCTGTCTGCTCCTGATCCTCGCTGGCTACTCTTTTGCAAAAGTCAAATATGCAAGAGATAAACTGTAAGAGAAACATCGTATCTGCTTTGTCACTCAGTTACTTCCATTTGGTCCTGAAATCTGGTATGAAGCTGTTTCCGGAGTCATCCTCCTGGGTTTCTTTTAAGTTCAAGGACTGTTTATTCATGATGAGTCACTGCAATTGTTTACTCTCTGTCCTTGCAGGGACTTCAGTTTCTCTTCCCAACACAGTGTAATATGAGGTAGAAGTGATCAGGCCCATAGCCAGAAAAAACATTCAGAAGGGCGGGAGGGGGGGGGGAGACTTTTTAAAAACTGAATCATGAAGAGCAGGTCCATAACTCAAAATAATTGAAATTCTATTATTCATTCTATATTTTATATTGACCTAATTAAATCGAATTTCTATTTTATCTACAAAGTTTCAAGTCTTTAAAAAAAACTGAAAACAGCTTTTAATTGGTAATGTATTGGTTACAAAATAATACACAGTGCCTGGGCCTGATAATGCCTTCCCCCATGTCTTTGCCACCTTTGATTATGACCACATCACTCAAACCAAATTGTGTCTTAAGGTGACATCCATGGGTCTACCTTTCTGCCCCAAAAATCAAACTGTATCAACAGATGAGGGCTTGACATCAACCAATGTAGGATCTGTAATTTAAATGAACAAATGCAATAATATTGCCAACCAGGCATTTATACCTCCAACACAACATAGAAGCACTCCCCACATTCTCTCTGGGTTTGGTGAAAGCTCACAACAATTGCTTTTGGCAGATGGCAAAACACTTCCCATGCTCTATCCCTCTTGGACTTCCCAATATTACACCACTGTAAATGGGGTAATATTGCCAACCAGGCACTTAACAACTCCAGCCCAATGCAGAAGCACTCCCCATATTTTCTCTGGGATTGATGGAGGCTCACAATGATTACTTATGGCAGATGGCAAAGCATCCCCTATACTCTAGTCCAGGGGTCCCCAAACTACGGCCCACGGTCCACTTCCAGCCCACCAAGGGCACTTATCTGGCCCGCTGAGGAGGAGTCCCCCCCACAGTGCCCCTCCCTTGGCTGGTTCACGCTATCCGTCAGGCCCGATGGCAGCGTGAGCCAGCCAAGGTCAGGTGCTCCACGTGGCCTACTCACGCGTAAAGCACCTTGCGAGGTGCTTTATGCGCGAGTAGGCCGCACGGGGCTGCTCCTCCCTTGGCAGGCTCACGCTGCCCATCGGGCCCGATGGGCAATGTGAGCCAGCCAAGGGAGGCTGCCCCGGCGCTCCATGCAGTCATGCCGGCCACATGACCTTGGAGGTGTCTACGGACAATGCCGGCTCTTCAACTTAGAAATGCAGATGAGCACCACACCCCAGAGTCAGACACAACTGGACTTCATGTCAGAGGAAAACTTTAACTAGGAAAATTATGGAAGATCAGGGTGGGAGAAAGAACTCTTGTCTTTTGGAGGTAGGTATGAATGTTTCAATTGGTCACCTTGATTGCCATTTCATAGCCTGACAGTTTTTAGGGAGAATCCTTTGTTGAGAGGTGATTAGCTGGCACTGATTGTTTCTTGTCTGGAGTTCCCCTGTGTTTGAGTGTTGTTCTTTATTTACAGTTATAATTTTAGAGTTGTTTGTTCAGACTAGAAATAGGAAGATTTCCCCATTCTCTGCTCCTGGAATTACTGCCTAAAGAGGGCTAGAAAGAACCCCCTCCCTCGAAGGGCCCTTCCACACCGCAAAATAAGATATCTGCAATGTGCAGAGGGATTTTAATTGATTTTTTTAATAAAAAAAACTATAGTCCGGCCCTCCAATGGTCTGAGGGACAGTGAACTGATCCCCGGTCTAAAAAGGTTTCAGGAGGAGGGTGAAAACTTGGTTATGGGACCAGGCCTTTGGGCACTCTGGCAATTAAATCAGACAATCAGGCAAGTAAGACCAGCAGGATGGATGAATGGAACGAAAAACTAGATCTAGGTGTTAACAAACGCTGACCATGTAAGAGGAGAAACTGGGTTTGTATTTGGTTCTAATGATTTTATTGATTTTATGGTTATAATGCATGCATGTCAACTGTGAATTGTTGTAATTTTGTGTATGATTGTTTATGATGCAGGCATCAAATTGTGCCTTGTTCTGTAAGCCGCCCTGAGTCCCCTTCGGGGTGAGAAGGGCGGGGTAAAAGAACCCCAAATAAGGTTGAGGACTCCTGCTCTAGTCTATTCTCTTAGGATTGTCACCACTGCATTACTATAAATAGGATAATATTGCCAACCAGGCACTTACAACTCCAACCCAATGCTGGAAGCACTTGCCATATTCTCTCTGGGTTTGGCAAAGGTTCACAACAATTGCTTATGGCAATACAACTCCCCATGTTGTATCATCTTGGGATTGCCATCACTGCAAATGGGATAATATTGCCAACCAGACAATTATAACTCCAGACCAATGCAGAAATTTTCTCTGGGTTTGGCAGAGGCTCACAATGGGTGCATGTGGCAGGTGGCAAAGCACTCCACACATTCTCTCCAGAATTTGGCATTGGCTCCAGAGTCCTTGGAAAAGTTGTTAAACACCATTATCAAAGCCTATGGTCCTACATGTTTTAACAGTGTAGTCCACTAGTCTTTGACGTGTTAATTACCATATATTCTAGCATATAAGACTACTTTTTAACCCAAAAAAATCTTCTCAAAAGTCAGGGGTCGTCTTTGCACCAAAATTAGCATTATTACTTATACATGATAATATAATTCCCTTACAAGAGGAGAAAGAATTGGTTTCTAATTTCATAACAGCAGCTAAATTGTTAATACGAAAAAACTGGAAAGAAAAAAAAAGAAATTCAATTAGAAGAATGGAAATTTGGAATATAGCGATTAATGATAAGCTAACTTGCATTATTAAAATTAAAGGGGGAATATGTAAACAAACAGACTTTTGGAAAATATGGGGGAAATGTATTGAGTATGTGTTTAATGAGGGAAAGGGGTATAAGCCAGCAACAGAAACGATATTTTGGAATGGTCAAACAACATGAGTTGGTTGGTCCTGGTGAAAGGGGCATAAACTAAGGGTAAGGGGAAGAGGGGGGAAACAAAATAATAATGATTATAAAGAAATACAATATGTATAAGTGGATAAAAGGTGTGTGATAGAGTTATATACAGTATAAGTTGTAATGGAAATTTAAAAATAATGATAAGAAATATGATTGAAGATGTTTTTGATGATTTTTTACTGTTAGATTGTATATAATATGACATATTCTTTTGTCTAAGATACTGTAAAAAGAGAGAAGAATGTATGCTTATAATTTTGTTGGACAAATTTATAAATAATTTTTTTAAGTATGCTGGTTAAGGCCTAAAGCCTGAACCGAGAGCTGAAACTAAATGAGATCTCCAAATATTCTGTCAAGACTTAGCATGAGCCCTGAAACAAAATAGTAGTCATAGTTGCTGTCATCGCCCCCCAATATATTGGCAAGAGCTTAAAGCCTAACATGAGGTATGCAATAAAATGTAGGCTAGGTGAGGAAACAAGCTCTGCTTAGTGCAGCCATGCAAACCTTATGTGTTGCTGGGACATAAGAAACCATAAAAATGGCTTTCAAGGTTCTTTCCATAAACTGTACACTCTTCAACCTAGTGCTCTCTAGGATGGTATCATAGCAGCCACATGTTATGACTGATGCCCAATAGCTGTAATCCAAGCCCAATGCTTTCCTATCAAAAGGCATGTCTTTGCCCTGCTTCCCACTTGTAGAAGCCCACCAGCAGCTGTGCCCCTTCCTCTCCTGATAGCACCAGACTCACTGCTTCTCTCCCTTGCAGGTTTATCCTAATGAGGAGGGCATGGTGACAGTGGCCAAGTTGGTGGCCACATTTTCCCCAGCCTTTCTGACGTGGATGGGGCCCTTTTTGCCAATCGTGAGCTTGGTCCATCCTGACTATATCAAGCCAGTTGTGACTGCCCCAGGTACTGTGATGGTGGGTTGTGGCAAAATGTGGGAGTGGAAGGGGAGTCCCACAAGAGCGGAGTAGCCTTCTCTCTACATCACCTCCACAGAGATTATAAAAATTGTCCCTTGGTTGATAGAGAGCAATGTTGGCTAAATACAGGCACTAATGTGGAGCTTTTCCAGATTAAGGTTATATCAACATTATAGAAGGAATGCAGTTTTACACCATTCAACTGATATGGCTCAGGGCTATGGAATCATGATTCGAGTTGGTGAGGCAGCAACAGTCTTTAAAGAGGTATTGTAAAACTACAACTCCAATAATCCCACAGCATTTAATCATATCAGTTAAAGTGGTGTAACATCGCATTAAATGTATTAAGTGTAAATGTATTCCAGGGATCCAGATGCAAAACTAACTGTAATAACTGGATTTATTTATTTATTAAAATCTAACACAATTTAAAAACAATTTAAAACAATTTAAAACAATTTAAAAACAACAATGTCAGAGATCAAAGGCCTGTCGAAACAGATATGTCTTACATGCCCTGCGGAAAGCTGATAAGTCCCGCAAGGCACAGACTTCAGGTGGCAGAGTATTCCAGAGTGATGGTGCCACTGCTGTAAAGGCTCTGTGTCTAGTTGCTGTTAGACACAAGGTCTTGACACTTGGAATTTCCAATAGATCTTGGTCCTCAGAACGGAGGGATCTCTGGGGTTGGTAGGGGGTGAGGCGGTCCCTCAGGTACATCGGCCCCAGACCATGCAAGGCCTTAAAGGTGAGTACCATCACTTTGAAAGTGATCCGGTGCTCAATTGGTAACCAATGCAGCTGTAGTAAGATTGGTGTTATGTGGCATCTCATTGGAATTATTTATTATTATTATTATTATTATTATTATTATTATTATTATTATTATTATTTCAAAGTTTTCTATACCGAGCTTCTCACCTCTTAGAGGGACTCAGCCCGGTTTACAACCATAAAAACATACAATCAGTAAAATATCATTGTTCATAATTACAATAGCTCATTTAAAATAACAACTATATTTAAAACTACGGTGGTCAGTCGTCATATTAAAAACAAGTATACCTCATCTTCCATCCACAATCCTAGGGTTCTATCTCATTCATCAAAAGCCTGTCTCCACAACCACGTCTTCACCCATTTCCTGAATGTCAGGATAGACGGGGCGGTTCTGACCTCCGGTGGGAGAGAGTTCCAGAGTCGCGGGGCCACCACCGAGAAGGCCCTGTCCCTCGTCCCCACCAGGCGCGCTTGTGAGGCCGGTGGGACCGAGAGCAGGGCCTCTCCAGACGATCTTAGTAATCTTGATGGTACGTTGGAATTCCCGCAAGAAGCCGAGCAGCTGCATTTTGTACCAACTTGAGCTTCCTGATTACCGACAGAAGAAGGCCAATGTAGAGGACGTTACAGTCGTCCAGTCTTGAGATGACCGTAGCCTAGATCACCGTAGCCAGGTCGTCCCTGGACAAGTAGGGGGCCAGCCGTCTAGCATGCCGCAGATGAAAAAAAGCGGTTCTGCTAACGGCGGAGACCTGGGCCTCCATCGTCAGCAGAGCGTCCAAAAGGACTCCCAGACTCTTTACCAATGATGACGGGTGTAGTGCCTTGCCATCCAGGGTAGGCAGCTGGATATCCCCACTGCCTGGTTGACCCAGCCATAGGATCTCCGTCTTTGCTGGATTCACCCTCAATCTGGTGGCATGCAGCCATCCAGTAACGGCCTCAAGGCACTGATGGAAACAATCGGGTACAGAGTCTGGTCTGCTCTCCATCCTCAGCACTAGCTGAGTGTCATCAGCGTACTGGTAACACTCCAGCCCAGGGGATCTTCAAGGATAATACCATATTTCTTTGATTCTAAGTCCAGAAAAAAAATCAATCAACTCTTGCAGAGGCTGAGAGAAACTACAGGGGCAAATGGGGCTCAGTATGCCTCTCCACTCCCACTCCATGTTCTTCCTTGCCACATCCACAGTCCTTTGAGGGAGTTCAAGCTGAGAGAGTGAGCAACTGCCCCATGGTTACCTAATAACCTTCATGTTCAGATGGGGATTTGAACTTAGATCTCTCAAGTTCCAATCAAACCTTCTCCTAAGCCTGACTCCAGTACTATAACCACTACACTCCAGTGGCTGTCGTTTTAAGAAAAGCTTTGTAGGTCAGTTGACCTACATATCTAAACTGCAGATATGTGACTCAGAGTAAATGCAAAGTACAAAGTCTTGAAGGAAATGTAAACCATGTGGTCCTCCTGATGTTGTTGAACTGAACATCCCAACAGCACCAGTTTGCATGGTGAGGACACCTGGGAGTCACATTCCAACAACATCTGGAAGGGCATAACTACAAGCTACACCAAGGACTTCATTATTCTCACTTAGGGGCCTTCCACACAGTCATATAACCCAAAATATCAGGGCTGATAATCCACAATATCTGCTTTGAACAGGGTTGTCTGAGTCCACACTTCCATATATTCCAGTCCAATGTGGATTTTATATAGTTGTGTGGACGGGACCTAATCTGCAATACAGCAACTTGCCTGAATCAATGCATCACAACTATTGTGATAGCAAAAATAGTGGAGTTTTACCTAGCAGCTGAGCTGGATCTAGCAGGCTTGCTCTGGGATATTTCTGTGTCTTTCTTTTCCCTTTGGCTTATCCTGTTGCTCCTTTCCTGTCTCCCAATTATCACTGTGTTGGGTATGTGTATGAGTGGTCTGTATTAGTTTTCTTTGGGCTACCGTTAGCCCAAAAATGCATTTGGCAATCCACTTATGCTTGTGTGGTATGTAATCCAGCTGTGGAGACTGACAGAGTGAAATACATTATCATGTAAGAAGTAGAGCATTTTCAGAGAGGAAGCCTTCAGTCACCTTCAGCAAGAGTTATTCACTTAATACTTGATTGTCATTAATGAACTACATAGGTATTTCTATTGACAGTGAGCATTTTGTATCATTTTAAGCTTCAGATTCACAATACATTGGACACTAGAGCCACTTTAAGTCTCATGTATATAAAATGTGTCAGAGTCATACAGCAATATGACACTTTCCAGAAACTCTGTTCCAGAATTTGTTCCCACCATTGATGATATTCAAATCATGTTGAATTATGGCCATGTGTGGATTCTTCATCCAGCCTCTCCTGATGATTGTTGGTTTCCACTAGGAGGAAAACCCAAAGCATAACATGGCTGAAACCTTACTCCATCCTGCTTTCCCCAGTTTGGTGAAAGTACTGAAGGACTGGGTCTTCTCTCCCTACTGGTGAGCTAATCAGTCCCCCCCCCCCCCCCACACACACACACACTTTAAGTACATGGACAGAGGAAATATGATTTCCACTCCACTTGAAGGAGACTTGGAACATCTGGTGATTCCATGTTGGAGTGAGTTGGCATATCTACTAATGCCAATCCTTGTCCTAGGCACGGAGCACTGAGGAGGGGTTGAAGGATGCAGAGCGTCTGGCTGCCCAGTATGTCTACTCCTGTGTCTGGTGGTTTGGGCCCTGGATGCCTATTCTGAGACTTTTCCATCCAGAGACCATCGCTCCAGTGCTCCGAGCATCAGGTAGATGGTGGCAAAGAAGCTATGTGTGATTGTAGAGGGGCAGAAAGGACATCCTTACCAAGCTTGCAGAAATTACTTTTGGGTGGCTGTAACTCCCATAATCCTGCCGTAGCTATCCTGGGTGGAGGAGTGCTGGGAGTTGTAGACCATTTGGTAACTTTCCTAAGTTCACTTGCTTGTTGGGAAAAGGGGTGCCGAGCTGTTATATGGAGCTGCTGCTGCTGCTGCTGCTAATAATAATAATAATAATAATAATAATAATAATAATAATAACAATAATAATCTTTATTTGTACCCTGCTACCATCTCCCCAAGGGACTCGGTGTGGCTTACATGAGGCCAAGCCCAAAGTACATCAAACAAAACATCAATAAACACAACATCAATAAACAATCAATAAAATACAAATCATATAAATCACATAAACAAAAAACAATAAATAGTGACATAAACAATTTTTAAAATGGCCGGGCCAAATGTAATAGATTAAAATTGAAAATATGCTGACGTGAACAAGGTAAAATATAACTAGGATAGGATTTTTTGGAGAGAAATGAGGGAACACAGTCCATCCTAAGTCAGTATTAAAGTGCATTGTGAGGACATATTACTGAGAGTTCTCCTTATTCTGGGAAGGCACACTGGAAACCACGTTTTCAGGCTCCTCCTAAAGACTGCCAACATTGGGGCATGTCTAATATCCCTGGGAAGTGAGTTCCAGAGTCAGGAGGCCACCACCGAGAAGGCCCTCTCCCTTCTGAGACTGAACCTCTAGTAGAGACGGCAGACCGTCCTTATTGCTGGCTGCATTTCTGCTCAGCTCTCTGAACTCAGGCTGGATCTACACTGCCATATAATCCAGTTTCTGATCCCAGGTTATCTGCTTGGAACTGAAAGATCCTGCTTACAACCACAACAAGTGTATGGAACAGGATCAAAGAGTTAAAGAGCAACGGTTCTTTACTTTGAACTTGTAATAAACCTATGCATGAAAAAGCTCATTTTATAATCATCACCACACCCCATTACACTTTGCCTCCCATAATCAGTGTTAATCCAATTTTGGCATAGCTTCTTGTCCTTTCACCCTTTCTAACTGGCATACTAAATTGATAGTTCTTGCGAGACTATCTTGTGAGACTCAGTTCTTTAAAAGACTAACAGTTACCACCTTTTAAAACAAAAGTCAGACCAACCAATCCTTCTGCGGTAGCAATGAGCTTCAGCATGTTGGAGCAGTGTTCTTTTTTGTAAAGAGGAAGCTTTGAAAAGGGAGGCATGGTGCTAAGCCTTCTCCAGTGGATCAAAGCAAACAAGGAGGGATCCTTGCAAAGTGGATTAATGTAAAAAAAAAAAAAAGGGGGGGGGGAGGGGGGAGGGCAAAGACATAAATTTTATAGAAA